GGCAACTGTTAGCAATTTCATTAGCCTCTGTAAACCTCTGTTGCCTCATCCAGAAAACGCCCTATGGGATTATAGGAGGTCAGGTAGAACAGCCCTTGGTGTGTAGAAAATACTCAGTAAATAACATTTCAGACTCTTGGTTCCCTACTGCACGTTGTTACCAAAGGATGGTTCTGAAACATACATTTGGTCGCTTTGAAAGCGTCTGCCTCCCTCCACCTGTGGGAACTCCGTGTCCAGATCTTTTGGGGTCTGGTTCCTTTGCAGTCCTCCTTTCTTGGAACTCCGTCCCCCACCCCTTGCCCCTAGAGCTGCACTCTGTTTGTCAGATCAATAACACTGTGTACCTGGGGCCTTTGGTTTGCTGGTACCTCTGCTATTTCAAGGCCTAGTGCACACATCACCTCTTTGAATACGCCCCACCCATACCTCACCCTGGGAGCTCTGGTGGTGCAGTGCCTAAGGCGTTTGACTGCTAACCAGAAGGCTGAACCCACCAGCCACTCCTCGGAAAGGTTGGGCGATCTACTTCCATAGTAATACCGCCTGGGCAACCCAAGGAGGGGTCGCGATCTGACTCCACAGAAGTGAGATACCTCACCCCACGTGCCCCTTCTCTGGGCCCCACAGCAACTTGTACCTGTCCCTTCCTCAGGGTTTACCCCGTTGTTCTGTTTCCCCCACTAGGCTGAACTCTGGGATCATTGGCTCATCTCTTTAGCGCCTAACCTTATATTTGAAAAAGTATTATTACTATTATTTGTTTATTAAGGAGCCCTGGTGGTGCAGTGATTAAAATGCTCAGCTGCTAACCACCAGTAGCCGCACTGGAGAAAGACTTGGTGATCTGTCCTCGTGAAGATTGTGGCCTCGGGAGTCCCAGGAGCAGGTCTTCCTTGTAGGGTCGCTGGTTCAGAACCGCCTTGATGACACACAACAGTTGTCTGCGTTTGAAGGACAGATTTTATACTGCAAACGAGGGCCAGTGATTTGCATTTACAGTCTGTTTGCTTTTTCCAGAGCATGTGGTTGTGGGGTGGGTATGGCCTGAGAAGCGCCTTCCGTTTCAAGATGCAGCTTCAGTCCTTGTGGTGGAGCCTTCCCTGACGTCCTGTGGGATCGGGCCGGCACTTTGTATGTTTCCTCAGCACCTGGTTCTGTGATTCTGTAACAGGCCGAAGTCATTGAGTTACAGCGACAGTTGGAAATGCCTGTCCTCTCTCTTGGACCATTAGCACCACGAAGACAGGGCCCCATTCTCTCAGGGGCACATCCCTGGCCCCAGCCCACTGCTTGTCTCGTGGTAGGAGCTGAATGAATAGTCCTCACCTATTGACATGATTCAGTTCCAAAGACCAGGACATTATGCAAAAATCTGCATTATGCAAAAATGGAGGATTTTTTCTGTTCAGACCATCCATTTGTCCCATATTTTTTGTTTAGAAAATATGATCATAGAAATAATAACAGCTAAGATCGATGGAAGGAGCTCTGGTGGCAAAGTGCCTAAGGCAGTTGACTGCTAATCAGAAGGGTGGCGGTTCAAACCCACCATCCACTCCTCAGAAGGAAGATTGGGCAATCTACTTCCATAGTGATACCTCCTCGAAACCCAAGGAGGGGTCGCTATGAGTCGGGTCCTACTTGACAGCACATAACAACATAACAAGATTGATGGATGTGCTCATCACTGTGTCGATTCCTGTTACGGATCACTCCTCTGGAGAAGGTGGCATGGAGGAAAGAGAGCTGGGTACAGCTGGCCTGTGTGACGGGAGGGCCCATGGCTTAGCCACTTCACTTCTTCCTGTGCTGGGTCAGGGCTTCCCTCATGCAGCCGCCACCATTCCCAGCCCTGCAAGCCCTGCATTCATCATCCAATCTGGAGCCTGCTGTCTACCCCACTGCCCCCAGCCCGGAACCTGGCCAGCACAGTGGGCCCCCACACCGAGGTGGAGGCTTCCAGCCCAGTTCTGCTCGCTTTGAGATGTCATCAGACTCACACATGTTTCTTCCAAACACCGTCTCCAGTGCCTCTTTCTCTCCTGCCTTCCTGCACCACGGCATTTGGGCTGCAGGCCCTCAGCTGTGTGGGAGCTGGAAACCCAGGGTAGGCACTGCTGGCTGAGTGCTGCCTGCATGTCCGCCTGGAGGTGATGGCCGCAGAGGATGCTGGCCCCATGTGGCTGCTGGACACAGAGCCCCCTCTGGCAGGAAGGAGCAGAGGGTGTGGGGCAGTGTGCCTCAGCTTCCTGGAGGTCACCCAGAGACCCTTCTTGAGGGAGGGGTTGTTGTAGCTGTGATCACCCTGTCGCTGCCTCATTCGTGTGCAAAATAGTGGATAAGTGAGGAGTGTTCGTATTGAATAACCCACCCACTGCTAACCCACCCACTGCTGTTGAATCTTATCTGACTCAAAGTGAACCCTCCTTGGGTTTCCCCCTCCTTGGGTTTCTGAGGCATTATGTCTACAGAAGTAGATTGCCCTGTCTTCCTTCCCAGGAAGTGTGGTGGGTTTGAACCACCAGGCTTTTAGTCAGCAGTCAGATGCCTTAGGCACTAAGCCAGCAGAGCTCCTTGCATTGAATAAAGGAATTTGCAAATAAAGATTTTTTAAAAAGCAGCTGATATGCTAATGAAGTAACTGAGGAAACCCTCCCCTGTTATCACTCTTCTTACTTTTTAAGATCTGGTCAACTTCCAAAAATTAAATTTTTATGTGCTTCCAAAGACTTCTCCAAAAGAATCAAAAGAGAACCTACAGATTGGGAAAAAATATTTGGTAATAACATATCTGACAAGGGACTTATCTCTAGAATTTATAGA